GACGCATGTAGAAAGCCCCCGCCAGCGCCATCAGCAACACCAGGATCAGGATCCCACCGACAGCACCGCCCACTATAGTGCCCAGACTGCTGTCCGGAGGAGAGGCCTGAGTTGGTGCGGTGAAGTGGGCATGGTGGTTGATGGGAGCTGTGATGGTTAAGGTGGTGTCAGGAAGGATGGACTTGGTGGTGCTGGTGGTGGTGGGGGCTGCAGTGGTCGGGGGCGGCGGCTCTGAGAGGGTGAGATATAGACAAATATTAAAATATAGGTAAACAGATACATAATTCAAGACAAGTTGTGAAGAAAATGCACCGATTTAATATTCTGGCTGGTACTGATACTATTAAAACAAAATAAATTTAGCTGTAAAATGAGCATAACACATTAAATTGAGCAGTTAACTAAATTAAAACAAAAACATTTTTTTACTTGAAATAAAATAAACTTTAACCGAAATGAAATAAAATATAAAAACACTTAAATTTTTTATTTAAGGCAACAATTTTTATTTAGTTTATGTCGATGTTCTAATATAACTAAAACTAAAAAATGAAAACTATATAGACATATAAAAAAACTAACAAAAAAACAAAAACAAATTTCTAAAAGTATAATATACCTAAAATTAAAATGACAACAGAAAATATAAAAGAAAAAAACTAATTCAAAATATGAATAAAACTATAACAGTACCTCAATGATAATAAAATATAAATATATTTAAAAAAAACCCTCTGGAATTAAGTTTTTTTTTCCTCGTATAACTCTGGCAATTCCTTTCTTGTTTTAAATATATACCTTAAAAAAATAAAAAATAAAATAAAATAATTAAATTCAATTAAATTAAAAAATGAAATAAAAATAAATAAAAATAAAATAAAGCTTAATTTAATTTATTAGCGGTTTAAAATTTTTTAAATGCTAGATGACAAAAAAGAAATCTGAATGTAAAAATAGGGAAAATGAACAATTAAATATCCAATATCTGATAAATAGAAAAATTCAATATTGATCGATATTGTACCAATAATTCGGTAATATACTTATTTAAAGGTTATTACTCAAGATCAAAGGACAGAACTTGCAATGACTAAGAGAAAAAACAAAATCTTGCTGATGTAACAGCAGGTTCAGGCACCAAAGGGCACAATTATTTGAATTTGGAGGCCTGTGAAGATACAGTAACAGTGAACAAGTCTTCAAGACTGGTACATCAATTTTACATCAAAAAAGGATGTTAAAAATATTGCACTTTTGGATGGTATAAAATAACTATTTGGTGTATCAATTATGGGACGTCAACTGGGGACAACTTTCATTTTAAGAAAGTCACTCTAAACTTCTTCAAAGAACAGAGGCCCAGGTCCTGATTTTTCCTATATCATTTTGTTTTTCTCTATGCTTCCGTCATCCATGTTTGTGCACCACTGAAGTCCAAAAACTGCCACAATATTTGGATTATGATTTGACCACAGAGCTACATGATAAAGGTTCCTCATGTTTTGCAGCCTGAAGAAGAGCCAAATATGTGGTAAAAAGCACAGTGGCAAAGAGCTGATTGAATTGAAACTGCTGTGAGTTTTGTCCAACTTTATTTACGTCATTGCAGAAACCTCACAGGCCAAGTGTAGAGCGTTTGGCACATTCAGCCAGCTTTCAGAAAGAGCTTCTGTTAACGGTATTTTCAACAAGAGATTCAGGAATTTACATATTCAGTAACAGGAAATACACACTTACTCAATGATACAACACAAATGTCAAACACAAGAAAACATCTTGTGAGTTTTGTCAGGGTTTTTCAGGCTGTTCCAAAAAATAAATCCAAGATGGTGGACAAAGTGAAAGAAATCTATCAAAAAACAACAACAACAAAAGAACTATCAATAATAGAGTGCTTCAGGGATCATGCATTTTTGTAGGCCATCCCAGAAGTTCGCATCCCCCTGGTTTCCTCAACAAAAAGCCAATAATGTTTTTACATTGGCTTTTGGATTATTCCAGAAAATGAGCTCTGTGACCAACAAAAGTTTATTATTCTAACATAGTATAACACTCCACAAATTAATACAACTTTTATGAATTTTCAAGCCCAAATAAAGAAGTAAAAGCATGACTTCAACGTATAGATGGGCTTAAAATAATAATAATAATAATAATAATAATAATACAAAAATTTTCTTCCAAGGAACACCAAACGTAAATCTTTAAATATTCTTTATGCAATCATATGCCATTTCTTCCCAAGAAAAGTTTAACTTATTTTAAAGTTATTATTATTAATATTTAAATGTTTTAAATACATTAAGCTGGGAAGTAAAATTAGCACAGTACATCTTGAATTAAGTTTATTTTTCTTACTCGACTGGCAATTTTGTTGTTGTTTTAAAAAAAAAAACTTGTTTTTAATAAAAAAGAACAATAACGTTTTTCTTCCATGGAATACTAAAAGTAAATTTTTGAATATTCTTTATGCACAAAATTTTTGCTTCTCAAGAAAATGTATCATTTAAAATAAGGTACATTTTCTTGAGAATACATCATATTAATATATTAAATATATTAAATAAATTTAGCTGAGAAGTAAACTTTTTTAAATGATTTAATTATGCTTATTTTTCCTATCCCGCTGGCGTTTTTAAAAATTGTTTTAAACATAAAACTAAAAATGGATTTTTTATTTTTTTTTGCTTAAAATAATAAGCATTATTTTTATGCTTAAAATAATAACAATGATAATAATAATAATTAATACAATAACTTTCTTCCATGGAACACCGAAGTATGCTATCTTATGCAATTTTTGCTTCTCAAAAAATATCTTAAAGATATTTATATTATTTATTATAATATAATATTCATATATTCTAATAGATTTAGATATTTTTCCTCAAAAACAAGATAAAAATACTGATTTAAAAAGAAAAAAAAAATCCCTGCAATCAAAATGTAAGACTCAAGACTTTCAAACTCAGTTCATGTGTCTCTTCATGTGAAAATAAAGTGATGCTTGGCTCCTACACTGGAGAAGTCATATGTATATATTTAATACAAAAAAAAGTGAGAGGAAGGAACCAAGAATACGCTGCACCTGGTTTTAAAGCTAACAGTCATGTGCAATGTGGTAACTGAAATGGTTACGCACACAGTGTAGCTTAAATTTAGCAGACTTGTTTTCTTTGTGTAAATCCACCCTATGATCATAAACCATGTAAACCTCTCCCTTTACATCCTTCAGTCGCAACAGTCCACTGAACGAAAACCATCCAGAACATATCTGCAGTAAATTACAGCCGTTTGCTATGAGTAAAACGTGAGGATGAAATCGTAAACCAAGCATGAAGAATACATCAAATACATTTATAACATACACTTTATCTCACTCTGCTGAGTTAAATAACACTTTCTTGCTGATTTTAAATTATTGTTGTCCAGTCAAAGTTCCCCTGTCTTTTCAAACATACCATTCCCTGCGTGAAATCACAGATCCATCCACGTGAGATACGTAGTCGCTGTCCGTGCCGTGGTCGTAGCACTCGTCCTGCAGGTAAGGGGAGCCGTTGTGTAGCGGCGGCCCACTGGGGTTCACGTTATGATGGTTGTGGTGGTCAGAGTAATACGTGCTCTCTCTCTGAAGGCTGAGATTGTCTTCCCAGCCCTCCATGTCTTTGTGGTCAATGGGATAATCGGGATAGATAATGTCTCCTTCGGGTTTGGGCTTCAAGTCTTGGCTGCCGTTGCCCGAGTCGTCCCCATAAACGTCCTGAAGCTCATGGGGTTGAAGGACGTCCATCTGTGACTCTTTCTGCATGTCGGATGGGCCGATGTACTGTTTGGTGTAGTAGTCTCCTCTGAATGTTCGGCGCTGACGCATGTAGAAAGCCCCCGCCAGCGCCATCAGCAACACCAGGATCAGGATCCCACCGACAGCACCGCCCACTATAGTGCCCAGACTGCTGTCCGGAGGAGAGGCCTGAGTTGGTGCGGTGAAGTGGGCATGGTGGTTGATGGGAGCTGTGATGGTTAAGGTGGTGTCAGGAAGGATGGACTTGGTGGTGCTGGTGGTGGTGGGGGCTGCAGTGGTCGGGGGCGGCGGCTCTGAGAGGGTGAGATATAGACAAATATTAAAATATAGGTAAACAGATACATAATTCAAGACAAGTTGTGAAGAAAATGCACCGATTTAATATTCTGGCTGGTACTGATACTATTAAAACAAAATAAATTTAGCTGTAAAATGAGCATAACACATTAAATTGAGCAGTTAACTAAATTAAAACAAAAACATTTTTTTACTTGAAATAAAATAAACTTTAACCGAAATGAAATAAAATATAAAAACACTTAAATTTTTTATTTAAGGCAACAATTTTTATTTAGTTTATGTCGATGTTCTAATATAACTAAAACTAAAAAATGAAAACTATATAGACATATAAAAAAACTAACAAAAAAACAAAAACAAATTTCTAAAAGTATAATATACCTAAAATTAAAATGACAACTCAAGACTTTCAAACTCAGTTCATGTGTCTCTTCATGTGAAAATAAAGTGATGCTTTGCTCCTACACTGGAGAAGTCATATGTATATATTTAATACAAAAAAAAGTGAGAGGAAGGAACCAAGAATACGCTGCACCTGGTTTTAAAGCTAACAGTCATGTGCAATGTGGTAACTGAAATGGTTACGCACACAGTGTAGCTTAAATTTAGCAGACTTGTTTTCTTTGTGTAAATCCACCCTATGATCATAAACCATGTAAACCTCTCCCTTTACATCCTTCAGTCGCAACAGTCCACTGAACGAAAACCATCCAGAACATATCTGCAGTAAATTACAGCCGTTTGCTATGAGTAAAACGTGAGGATGAAATCGTAAACCAAGCATGAAGAATACATCAAATACATTTATAACATACACTTTATCTCACTCTGCTGAGTTAAATAACACTTTCTTGCTGATTTTAAATTATTGTTGTTCAGTCAAAGTTCCCCTGTCTTTTCAAACATACCATTCCCTGCGTGAAATCACAGATCCATCCACGTGAGATACGTAGTCGCTGTCCGTGCCGTGGTCGTAGCACTCGTCCTGCAGGTAAGGGGAGCCGTTGTGTAGCGGCGGCCCACTGGGGTTCACGTTATGATGGTTGTGGTGGTCAGAGTAATACGTGCTCTCTCTCTGAAGGCTGAGATTGTCTTCCCAGCCCTCCATGTCTTTGTGGTCAATGGGATAATCGGGATAGATAATGTCTCCTTCGGGTTTGGGCTTCAAGTCTTGGCTGCCGTTGCCCGAGTCGTCCCCATAAACGTCCTGAAGCTCATGGGGTTGAAGGACGTCCATCTGTGACTCTTTCTGCATGTCGGATGGGCCGATGTACTGTTTGGTGTAGTAGTCTCCTCTGAATGTTCGGCGTTGACGCATGTAGAAAGCCCCCACCAGCGCCATCAGCAACACTAGGATCAGGATCCCACCGACAGCACCGCCCACGATAGTGCCCAGGCCACTGTCTGGCGGAGAGGCCTGAGTCGGGCCGGTGAAGTGGGCATGCTGGTTGATGGGAGCGGTGATGGTTAAGCTGGTGTCAGGCAGGATGGACTTGCTGCTGGTGCTGGTGGGGGCTGCGGTGGTTGGTGGCGGCTCTGAGAGGGCGAGATATTGGCAAATATTAAAATATAGGCAAACGGTTGTGAAGTAAATGTACCAATATTAATATTCTGGCTGGTACTGATAATCTAATTTATACTATTAAAACAAAATAAATGTAGCTGTAAATTGAGCATAACACTAAACTAAAACTAAAACCATAAAACATTTTTGTTACTTGAAATAAAATAAAATATAAAACACTTATTTCAGCTTGTCACCAAGGCAACATTTCTCATTTTTTATTTAGTTTATCTCATTGTGTAAAATGACTAAAACTGAAAAAAAGAAAAACAAAAAAACTATATACAATAAAATATGAACTGAAAACTATATAGACATATAAAAAAAAATAAAAAATAAAAATTACTAAAATTATAGTAAACCTAAAATTAAAATGACATCAGAAAATATCAAAATGAAAACTAATTCAAAATATGAATAAAAACTGTAACAGTATCTCAATGATACTAAAATAACCCTGGAACTAAGCTTTTTTTTTTTTTTTTTTTTTTTTTTTTTTTTTTTCCC